TGTTTTACTTTTTCGACTTCTTCTTGAAAACTGCAAGCCTGAATGCTTTGATACTTGGTGTATATGTACCTTGGGTAGACCTCTCTCAGATTTGTTCATTTCATGATGATATCTTCAATTCTCTAATTTTGGTGAATATTTTTGTCATTTTTAGTAAAAAGTGATATTTTCAACTTCTTGTTAAAAACCGCAAGTCCAATTGCTTTGATATTACATATATAGGTACTACATGTGGACCTCTCTCAGATTTGTTCATTTTGTAATGATATCTTTAATTCTTTAATTTTGGTGAATATTTTTGTAATTTTTGGTAAAAAGTGATATTTTCGACTTCTTGTTGAAAACCGCAAGTCCAATTGCTTTGATATTACATGTGGACCTCTCTCAGATTTGTTCATTTTGTAATGATATCTTTAATTCTCTAATTTTGGTGAATATTTTTGTCATTTTTGGTAAAAAGTGATATTTTCGACTTCTTGTTGAAAACCGCAAGTCCAATTGCTTTGATATTACATATATAGGTATTACATGTGGACCTCTCTCAGATTTGTTCATTTTGTAATGATATCTTTAATTCTCTAATCTTGGTGAATATTTTTGTCATTTTTGGTAAAAAGTGATATTTGCGAAGTCCAATTGCTTTGATATTACATATATAAGTACTACATGTGGACCTCTCTCAGATTTGTTTATTTTGTAATGATATCTTTAATTCTCTAATTTTGGTGAATATTTTTGTAATTTTTGGTAAAAAGTGATATTTTCAACTTCTTGTTGAAAACCGCAAGTCCAATTGCTTTTATATTACATATATAGCTACTACATGTGGACCTCTTTCAGATTTGTTAATTTCGTGGTGATATCTTCAATTATCTAATTTTGATGAATATTTTTGTCATTTTTGGTGAAAAGTGATATTTTTGAATTCTTGTTGAAAACAGTCTACATATTGTTCATTTTCTAATGATATCTTCTGTTCTTTATTTGAAATGTGCATTGCTAACAGCGAAGCTATCTTAGCCGAGAGGCTGCTTGTTTTTGATAACGAAAAGTATATTCTAAAAGAAGTAAAGACAAAAACGAATGCATTCTTAGTAGCAAACGATCACGGTAACGGTATTGCAATCCAGCCGGTCATGCTGCGTTTCACATAAGTGAATAACTTACTTGTTTTCAAAGTGTTACAAATGATGATTATTACTCAGTAGTGATTACAATAACGTACAAAAAATAAATTCGTTGAATTGTTGTGAAAACGAATGATTTCGATCCGATACGATATCCGCCATGTTTGTTCAAACACTTTAGTAACTTGAAACTGTTTTTTGACCTGATAGGTCAAATCGCTAATTAACCAATCGAAACGCTAGATGGTGCCAACCTGTTTAAATTACCATAGCTCATTTAAATATGTTAATGTAGTTCAGCAACTTCATGGTGAACACAACACGGAAGAGATTTACCGTTGTTGTAGTGCGATCGATCGAACACAAGTACACACACAAGACAAAAGAAAATACATAAAAAACTATCACACTCATGTATCACGTCAAAGAGTATGGTGTATATGTAGACTTTCTATGTGGTCTCAGTGCATTTTATGGTTCTATGTTATTCTATTGTAGATGGCTGCTAAGAGAGCTGAAAGACCTGTAGTTACTCCTGATATTGCACCTACTAGTGATGTAACACCACTAAAAACACCACGAGGCATGCCTATTGAAATGGTGACATTGTGTTTGGATTTGGTAAACTGGGCCATGGAAGGTTTTCTTCCTAATGGTCCAGGTGCAATTGTACCATCTAAAGGTCAGTATATCTTGGGGGGTGGAGCCACGTCACAGAATATTGCTAAGATATGCACCACTGTACCATGTATTTCTATGGGCTTTGTGAGAGCTGCTGTGGAGCGCCGGTCAAAGAGCCGATGAAAACGGTGGAAGTTGAGAAAATGGTATAAAATCAACTATAAGACTATAAGAACAACCAAATTTTGTTTTGTTGCCCATAAAGGAGTAACCAATTATACTGTTCAGGAAAGTCTGAAGAACTACCCAAAACGCATTTTTTTTAGAGTTTTCGGTCTTTGTTTTCTCTGTGTTGCTTGCCAGGCAGTGAAAATACCTGGATGTCCGCTTCCAGAATAGATGTCAGTGCAATGTGTGCTTCTATTGATAATTACTAGTATATTATACCAGTATATTGATGGTGTTAATCCATTGATTTGATTGGTCCAAACACAAAATTTGCATATGCAATCCTTGGTATATTGGCTGATAATACACGACTAAACCAAGTGGCCCTGGAACATGAATTGACTACAGGTTTAATACGGAAATACATAAAACCGGTATTATTTGATTTTTAGGCAAATATAGTGCTTGATTTTTGGAAGAATATTGAAAAAAATATTGAATTAAAACATCTGAAAAGTTATATAACCATAATATTGCTTTTTGCTAATGGTGGTATCCAGGTTGTGAGCGTCGGTCGTTGGGTGATTGTCATTTGCCACACAAACCTAAACCACCGTCTCTCAACACCGTGAGGTGCCTACACGAACGCCAGAACGCTGTGTTCTCAGTGTTGTTACTTTGAGATGGATTGCGAACTTCCAACAAAGAAAACATGATCTTTAAGTATTAGATAAGATTGAGGGATTGAAAGACAAAAAAACTATGAGTCACAGGCAAAAATGTATGCCACCAATAACAACCGGTGTCCCGTAGCGGCAGCTGACAAAATTGCAGTGCACCCGAGTAATTGCCATCTGTTTCAAAGAACACGGGACAACGC